TGAATGTCCCCGGTTCAATACCCAGATGAATTTATGTGTGTTCCATTATGAGAGAGTGCGGATAAAACATGGAGATAAGGGCGGGGTGATGGGAATGGGGGAGGACACAGAGCGAGAGAGAGGGCAGTCCTCTCTCTCGCTCTCTGCTGAGTTAGCCATGCAGAGACCATAGAGAAGAAGCCATCTGTAGAGATAAGTAAAGAAGTGATTACAACAGGCCCAGCTCAATTTCTGACAGTTGATGCTTGGCTGCCCCCGAAGAGCTGAATTGATTTAAATGAAGAAGCTATGAATATTTTAAAGGTTAGAACCTCCCTTTAACCTGGACTGCTTCAATCTTCCACTCTCTCACAGCCACATCAAACGCTCACTACAAATACACACACACACATATATATAAAATAGTAATTTTATCATTCAACAAAGACAACGTGAGACCAAAGGATTGTCAGGTAAATGTAAGGAGTTTAAAAAAATAATAAATAACGTGAGAAGGAAATGTATTCTCTTCAGTCTTAGATCAATGACTTAGTCAAAGAGCTTCTGTTCCAAGAAGAAAAATAAACGAGAAGTTATTTGGAGTTAAATGGCAATGACAAATATCTGTTGATGTATTTGTCAACTAGTAATGACAAGATCTGACAGGTACAAAGTCCAATCAGCGCTGACTTCATCATGTAAACAAGTGGAAGGAACGAGGATGAGAGCCAATCAGAGCTGTGGTACAATTCAGTCACGTTACGACTGAGACTAATTCAAAACTGGCTGATGATTAACAGAGGTGTTGACATGAATCCTGATCTGACATCATTGTTGTCCATGGATTAGGTGTTATCACCACTGACAACTCAATGACACAGTCTGGCTCTCTTCTGTTGATCACACTGAGCTCCACAGTGGAGACCACCCCCTGTTTGGGGGGCTTTACTGTTGAACCAAACTGGGGACCTCTGACTGATGCCTGTGGCTAATGTTCAAAACTGCAAACAAACTGGTGGGTCTCAGCATCTGTCCACGTGAGTGTGCACAGACACACAACTACCCAGACCCCAAAATTAGCCACCCGTGAGCTACTTAATGGCTGTGGCTGTGTTCAAGAAATATGATTGTTCTGCCAGTGTTGAAGGTAATGAGCCACACCCAATCATTACAGGTTAAAAAATGACAGTATTCATCGTCAAACCCACACGTTTCCTCCCGGGTGCTGCCTGTTAACCTTGCGGAGCGGTGACACTGGGGGGGGCACCTGTGTTTAGTAAATGATGAATTGCATTTTAAAGGGCAGCAACCGCTCTGAAGGTTCATGGCACAGTGCCATTCTGGAAGGGAGTAATGGCAGGTTGTGAAACGCTGCCCTGCGGTCGTTCTCAAGAGAGCGGCGGCCGCGGCGCTGAACCCCCTTCACCTCCCTGACATTACAAACATACCTTGATGACAAAATGTGTTATTGACGTTCACCTGAAGGTGAAAGCAGGGGTGTCTTTCTGGACTAACTGAACCCTCCTGCCTCACACACACTCATTTCAGGTGGAATTGCACGTGTTAAGAACACTAAATCAGTAGTGCTAGAGGCTGACGGGGGGGCATTTTGAAGCCTGCTTTAAGATTAGGAAGAGATTCATATAAATTCCCTAAATTGTAATTGACTGTAGCACCAAAGCCCTCTTCCTCAGCAGTGGGTTCATGGAACACTGAGGTGCTTGGAGCTATGATGAGGTGGATGGGGGGGGGGAGGGGCAGCTATGGAAATGACATAAAACGCAGCCCTGCACTCAGACCTGTGATTTGGATTGAAGTTTAGTGTTAACAATGTCACAAGGAGTAACTTTGTAAAACTGCTAAGTAGCTTTGCCAAGAAATACTGAGAGGATTGTTAGGAAAAAATAAACTCCAAACTCCATATCCTGGACTGATGTAGAACCTTTCCTCCGGCTGTTTACTATTTCAAATCCCCTTCACTTTTTAGTCACTGGCTGTTCTCCAGGCGATCCTGTTCTGGGACAGGACGGACCTCTATCTCTGTTTATTCTACATTGTACATGTTCTTCCCAACTCTCAGCACAGTCCTGCCAAATAACATCTGAACAGATAAATAATGAGGGGGAGGAAGTGGTATTCTCAGCTCTTTCGCAAGGCCAACATCAGTCTGGTGGCCTGCGTTAAGTCTAAACGCATCACGCGCAGCTTTCCAATGTTGACAACAGCACACGCAATTAGTGACAGTCTGAGATGGACACTGGGCTAATGTTACAGTCGCAGGCCCAAGAGAAAACATGTGTTCACACTCATACTTACACACTACACTTATGAAATACCATCTGCTTATTCTTGGGCTGCATCTCCTGCAAGGCCAAGCGGACTGCTGAACTCAAATGGCATGAGTCAGATGAAGCTGCCAGTCGGTGTTTGTGTCCAGCAGCACACTTGGCAAGTCCCATCTTCACCAGACCAACTAAGGCTCAGCGCTGCTCTCTACTACGTCTGCTTTTTATGAAAATCCCTCATGACTGGGTTCTTATAAACACTGAACGGCCTGGGAAAAAAAATTCCTTGCACTGAGTGACTATTTGAGCCCACTGTGCAATACCCTCTGTGCTTTCCACCGCCATGTTTTCAGTGTGTGACAGTCATGTGAACAGGGCCATGCACATTCTTTAATGCATGAGGCTCTGACTACTGGTGCTCAGAGGAAAAAAAAAAAAAATATATATAGATATATATATATATAAAACATAAAACAATAAGTGTGTTTTACCTGCAAGGTCCAGCATTGCTTCTCTGTACATAGCAACATTAGCATTAGCCTGTTTACACACCCTGTGACAGAACACAATTTGATTAAACCAGCAGCGTATTGACACTCGGGCGGGTAAAACTGCAGCTTCTTGAAGGAACTAATAAAATCTGGGATGAGACGTTCATATGACTTGAATACATGCCAAGCCACTTAATACATTCAAGAGGCCATTTTAGACCATATTGACTGCAGGGACGATGTCAGTGAGTGCACTCTGTGAGCCAGAGAGCTCTTCTTTAAAGCCTATAATGAATAGTTGGATCCAATGTGGAGAGGGTTGAAAACACAGAGCTCCAAAGAGGGGAGGAAAAAAAAGGCAGCGAGGAGGTAAAAGAAATGTTGAACTCCACCAGCAATCTGTTTCTGAACCCACGTGGAAAGAAAGGGTGAGAGATCATGAGTCAACAGTCTGTCTGCCAACCAAGTATGATATTATAAAAAAGATAAAACCAGCAGATGTTTTTCAGAATGCCTCGTGCTTTTGAGCTGCTTTGGATTCCTGCCTGAGAACTGGACCACAGAATAAAAACTCTGCTCTGTTTTTTTTTTTTTTTTTACTGTTGTCTTCTTTTCCCCTATGATAAAAAAACAACAACAAAAAAACCCTCCTGGCCACGTGATGACACTAACGGATGTTGCGCGTGTGTACTCTACAACACCTCCGTCTCCCCCTCCTCCACCAGTCCCTGCTTGTGCATTAAATATTTTATTACATTCAAGCAGTAAGGCAAAGAACAGATATGCCTCCACTACACCCCCCCGCCCCCCACCTACGTCTACATCTACAGCCACTGCATTGAGCCTAACAATGTGGAGTTGAGTAAAACAAGATCAGAGGTCTTTTCCTGAAACTACCCCCCTCCCTCACCTCTACCTCCCTCCCCAACAAAGTCTCCCTCAGACAAGCTCACATGGTTCAAATCAGTGCTCTCCCACTGGAGCTTTTCTATGGTTGAGGATTAATAAATACTAACAACCGGGCTAAGTATGAAACAAAAAAAAACGAACTAGGAACTGCAAAAAAAAAAAAAAAAGCCACATTTTGACCACTTCTGTTCTTAATGCCAAACATTTTTAATCAAATGTCCTGTCTGACATCTGTGGCGTGTTTCTATAGTCTGGAGAGGCGAGGAGGAAATTGGCCCTTCAGAGCCTGTGGAGATTCCTGCCTTTTACGCTCCTTCAAATGTGAAAGACAACAGAGCTATCTGTTCAATAAAAGGCCTGCTGGAGCTTTGTGCACTGCAGCTCCTTCTCAGCTAAAGAATGAGTGGTGGGGTGGAGGGGGAGGGGTTTCTGTGTGATACTTTGTTGTTGTAATAAAACTCTCTCTATTATTGCAGCTGATACAGTAACGGTGGACACAGACCTCTCATCCCTGGCTGAGGTGGAAAACTACACACCAGGGACGGACGTGTGCGGAAGCAAATCACTTATCCAAACCGCTGCCGCCGCCGCCACCAGACGCTAGCATGTTATATTTAGAGCTGATAGAGGGAAGCGTCATCCTCAGTACGCTAGCATGTTATATTTAGAGCTGATGGAGGGAAGCGTCAAACCTCAGCGTGTCTGACAATAAATATTATTGATCAGAGTATTTTTTTAAAGAACTTGGACTGTTGACTGATACATGATGAGGACGCAGGAGGAACATGTGAATGGGTGAATAGGTAATGTTAGCTACACGCTACATGTTTTAAAAGCAGACTGTCATGATGGTGTTAAAGATTAGCGTTGACCATTAAGAGGCGGAGTTGAGGCCGCGCTGCTTAAAAAACTGTAAGTGTAGATGTCCAGATTATCAGAGGGGCAGCGAGAGGACGGACTGGCAGGAAAGTTTGCTGTGATTAAAGTGGAATAACTGCGTTTATGCTGGATATTTAGGGAACATAAAAGAGCTGGGAGCGGGATACTGCAGAGGTTTCTACCAACCTCAGTGCAGCAAGCAGAAAGAAGAATGACTGAACTGAAAGTGGGTCAAGTGTATATTATGCAGATATGAAGCTCAGTGATGGGGAGAACATGCAACAATGTTTTGCTGCACATTACAGCAGTTGAAATATTGCAGCAAAGGCTGCAGAAATTATCACTATTTTTTACCCCTTAAATGAGAATAAATTAAACAGATTAAAAAAATACTTTTTTCCCTTTTCTTTGTTAACTCTAACACTCATTAATGAAATGAACTTGAGGAGACACCTACAGTGGTTGGAGCCGTTCCAGTGCTGGTTCCTGATGGACGTGCTGTAGGGATGGGGTGCACCCGGCACCAGTCCTCCTTTCTCCGGGATCAAACATCCTCTGCTCTGGTTGTAGTAATCCATCATTAAAAACGGGTTCGGGCTGGGATTCAGTCCCACAACGTCCACACTCTCATACATCATACGAAGCAGACTGGCAGCAGGGGATTATTATTACTTGATGTTTTTTTTCTTTCTCTCTTCTATATTAAAAAAATGTCAATCCTTTTCTTCAGCTCTCCACACCGGCGGAGGTAGAAGGTGAGGGAGCCAAATGGAGGGGGAACTGCATCAAAATCGAGGGGAAAGTGATAAATCCAAACACCTAGGAGCCATCTGGTCATTTGGCATCTTTTATTTTTACAGCTCTTATTGATCAGAGAAGTGGAATCGGTCTGTTTTGAAGCCTTGGAGCTATCGGTCAGCAGGAGAGTCCGCAGCATGGTGTCCGACGCTGGGACACGGCAGTAAAAATGAAAATGAAATCTAAAAAATAAATTAAAAGGAAATAGAAGCAGGTAACTTCGGCAGGATATGTCACTCCCGCTGGTCCTACTCGACACTCAGAGGATGTATCCAAGCCACAAAGAAGAGAAAACTGTTCACATAAATTCTCCCCCCTACAAAAAAACAAAAAACCAACAACCCAGCAGACGGATCTGAAAGTCCGTGCCAATACCAGAGGAGGAGGACAAGATGAACACACTGAGTGGAAGAACGGAGGCGCAGAACCCAGAGAGGAACCCCCGTCTAGTTACAGTCCGTCCTTTCGCTGCCGCGGTCTCTTGTCCCGTGTGCGATCCCGCCGTGTTGTGGGCGGACGGCTGCTGTCAGCGCCGTGAAATCAACCCGCTCCGCCGCCGTGCGTCAGCCTTCAACCAGCGGCGGCCAGAGTCCGCTGTCGCTCACATCCAGGTCCGCAGGAAACACGGTCCTGCAGCAGCAGCGCCGCCGCCTCGTTTGTCTTTGGTACCAGAGAAGCCGAAATCGGGCAGCGGACCAAACCGTGCAGAGATCATGTTCTGCAGAAATGTGACAAGGCACAGCAGCTGAGGAATCTGGCTCCACCTCCTCTCTCTCTCTCTCTCTCTCTCTCTCTCTGGATCCGCTCTCATGAGTCGCTCCTCCTCCCGTTAACCCTTTCAGGGTCGTCCCAGAGAATCCCCCTCTCTCACCGCAGACCCAGGGGCAGCGTCGAACTTTGATAGAGGGGAGTTTATTATTTTTTTTATTTGTTGTGAAATCCAAGAATTGTGTGAAAGACTCACATCATAATTATAGACCAGCGGTGGGTAAAGTTCAAAGTTGGCTCACGGGCCAAAATGAGGTTCAGTATTGGTCAGATGTATATTTACAATTAGGTACAAACAATGCTAGGCACCTCAACCTGCTCACCTCATAATAATAACAATGAAAATGATTCGTATGCTGCTACAATAATGACTGTATATAGGTACACATCTATATTACAGATATACTGCAGATATAACACATGAATAACAGTGTGCTTGTTTAACTATCCTTACCCTGCCTCTTCTTCATCACCTAACCCTGTCATGGACACTGGTAAAACCACTGTTGTGAATAGTACAGCATCACTGCATTCTCCATCAGTGGGGTTAATCTTTTGTTTTTTTGTTTTTTTTTTGTATGTCCCTGTGCCATGACACTCTGGTCATGTTGAAAAGTGAACTCTCAGATGCACACTCTCTCTGCCTTCACCTGCACATGCTTTAGATTCTGTAAATTTGGACTCAGATTGGCATTAGGCAATCAGAAGAGTCTGTTAACATGACAGACAGTCAGTCAGACAGTCAGTCAGACAGTCAGTCAGACAGTCAGTCAGACAGTCAGTCAGACAGTCAGTCAGTCAGAGGTGCTCCACTGGTTTTGGTGGTGAGGTAATTAGTATTAAGTGAGTCTGACCTGGTTTACAACCGTTCTGCTGTCAATCACACGCTGTGACAAAGCACATTCATAATTCACTAAGGTACGAAAAAGAGTAAAGAAGCGCAGCTTTAACTAACAGTTCCACAGAGGGCCAGTCACCTTGGTTGTGAATCCAGGAAGTCAGTCTTTAGAACTGTAGTTAAGAGATACACTCTGTAAATAAACCTGGAGAATACTAGCTTGCTGTAGCATTCAAATCAAATCAAAATAAACAGAGCTTTTTATGGAACATCCATTTCCTAACATCAGTTTGTTTTATACTGAGGTAACTACCAGTAACCAGCTGTGACAGGAAAAGCTAACTGGGAAACTGCATGAATATTTCATCCAACATCCTTCATAACATTTGTATTAAAAATTCAACAGTTCTCACAAGGTGGTTGCAGTAGGTGGGAAACTGATGATGAACAGTTAAAGAGTGTATACTGTAACGGTGGTTGATCTACAAGTATAACAATAGTATATACAGCGTTTTACTCTCTAGTTCACATCACTAAGTCCTAGTAAATTATTTCAGGACTTGGGTTAAGAATCCTATTTGTTTGTCAACACAACTGAACCGATCTTTGATGAATAAATCCTAGTTTAGTTGCCAATTGACTGGTGTGGATTTGTCACTTTAGTAGAGTCCCCTCGTGTACGAAGTCTGTTGTTCACTCTTTTCATTTGGGCTCCTCCCCCTTTTCTTTCCTACTAATAAGAATCTTGCTCTCTCTCCCTCTCACCCTCTCTCCTTCAAGCTCTCCTTAGTCCCTGCCCCATGGTTTTTCTCCCCTAGCTGCTGTCTCCCTAATTTGCCTAATGCTATGCAGCTGAACTTTTCCTGAACCCTATGAAAGTAGGCAGCCTCACCTCCTGGTGACCCACTGGCTGACTCGGATTTGCCTCCCTGGCTCACTCTCATCCCACATTATTCAACATTTCCCACCTTGTACGCCTAGCGGAACACCATTACACTCGCCCGAGTGCTGCCCGCAGAGGCGCCTCGGCAACAAAAGCAAAAGTCACCCAGTCACAGTGCCTGACGTTTGACTTTTCTCACAGTGGAGCTCCAGCTGGATGAGAGACCAGGAAGTTGGTGCAACAGAGCCGCTTCACCTGCCTAACACCAGCTTACTCCACCTTTACTCTGCAACATTCCATGCAACATAGTTGCTGCTGTGTCATCGAGCAGGCTTAGAGCCAAAGCTGTTACAGACCTGACAATGGGACACTTGATTTAAATGCAGAATGAACATGGAGCCAACTACAGACAAAGTTCACAAAACACTGGCTTTACAAAAAAATCAGGTTTCTGTTAAAAGGGTTTGTGACTTCTATGTGACCTGGGCCGGGCCAACGTGTATGCAGACAAATGGAACAGTGCATTACCACACAAAGGAAGACGGTGCTAATGGCCAGTTTTATTCTCGTCTCATTAACAGAGGACTCAGTAAAGGCCAGTCTTCACACTGCCACTGTCGTCACATTGGACAATCATTATATCAATAAAAACACAGATGAAATAAATTAAAAAATAATATTTAAAAAGGGGTAAGTGAAATTAAGCTTTACGCCACTGAAAGCTTTCACACCACTGAAACATTGCAAAGGTAAAAAAAGACTTTCCATCAAACAAGCTGAAAGTAGCACTCTTTCTGTAATTATGTTTCAATTAAACAAATAATACACAATGTTGGTTAAGTATGTCATTAAAGTGCTTCATCACATTCAGTGCTATGACGTGTCCTGTCACTCCACGGCCTGCCATCCCTCCTGACGTCTTTATGTTTTTTGTCTATCATACGTGTGGTTGACGCTGAATTAGACTCCACCACAGTAAACTGACTGTGCTATATATTAAGCAACATCCTTCTACAAATGGGAAGTTTTTATTGGACTTTTACCTTCTGTCATTAACTCCATTGGCCCATTGCACAAAACTGTGTCATGGATTTTGGCCATTTTCACCTTTGTGAACACAAACCAAACCAGCTGGAAAAGATTTTTAAAAATGTATTGTTTTTGGCACTGGTTTGTTCCAGGACCTGAACCTTCAAAGGTCGTCTATAGGGAGGACTCTCAGAGGAAGTCACATTATGAAGACATTTTTAAAGGCCAACAAATCCAACTGTGGTTTGCAAACCTGAGCTGTAGGAATAAATAACGACTTAATCAAGCAGGTTTCATCATAAATGGGCTGTACCAGATTAGGTAATCCAGTGGCCAGTGCAGAGTTGCGGAGTGTGTCAACAAACACTCTATGTGAACATAATCTCAAACTGAAGAATTTTCCCTCTGTTGTTATATCTCAGTCTGGTATCTACTCAATTCAAATGTATCTACACCAGCGCTCACATGTCCCACAGAAACCTGTGTGACTTGTGTGTTAATGTACAGCCTGGACAAAACAACACTTCTCCTCCCCCGGCTTCTGTCGCTGCCTCAGCCACAGGCCACAGCTGGCTCTGACCAATACAGCTTTTAAAGGAGGATTATCTGTATGGAGCCTGGCAGGGGAGTGTGTGTGTGTGTGTGTGGGGGGGGGGGGGGGGGGGGGGGGGTGTCTCCGCCCCAACTGACTGTGACACTTATTTAATGCAGACCCTGTGTGTTTACCCTGGCTGATAAGAGCCCAGTGTGCAGGCCTGGACCACGGCGACCCCTCGCCTGCGCTGATAGCACAGCCACACATTCCTTGACAGGATTAGTCCTGGTGAGTAATGGCTGTCAGAAAATGCTAATTTTCCAGGCTCTGTTTTTTCTTTCTCCAAAGGGAGAGCATTTATCCTGGGGTTATACCCTGTGATTACATAAAACAAGCGATGAAATAACAGATTGGTGATCACTGCTCATTACAGAGGGGCAGGAAAGATTAGTCCTGAAAAATGTCTCATAATAATCTCTAAACAAGAAATGTCACTTTTTTGCTCCGTGACATTTATTACAGCGTCCAAGAATATAACCGTACATGTGATGTTTCTTATTTTCAGAAAAGGAGTGGGACAGAGGACTCCTCGGGGGAGAAGGTTTGGGACTTTTGAGTTCTCCATTACATCAATGGAACAATAAAAATGGTTTAGGGCCAGGCAGTGTCCACTCTGAATCACTACAGTCACTCCTCAGATACGCAAACATGCACACATGTAGTAAGACGTACAGTGCACTTGACATTTGGTACCATAAATTTTGGGAGGGCCTGGGGGGGCGGAGACGGGAAAGGGGAGGGGTTAGTAGTCTCTGTTGCGTCTTCATAGCCGTGTTAAAAGAGTCACAGGAGGTTCAGCCCACAGTAATGCACCAGTCCAGGTGGCTTGTTCCAGCTCCCACAGCCATAAATGCTGACACTCCTGAGACATATTCTGGCACATTCCAGAGCCAGGGAGGATGAGATCGTGTCTCAATCCCTTCCACTGTCACCAAAAGAAGAATCTGGGTTTTATGACTCAAACTTTATAGTTTGATTTCTGATTA